CATGGAATGGGTTGGGAATCCGGGAATGGTTTGGGTTGGGAATTGTGGATTGACTTGGATTGGGAATGTGGGAATGGTTTGGGCTGGGATCCATGAAACGCCTTGGGAATCCGGGAATGGTTTTTGTTGGGAATCCTGGAATGCTTTGGTTTGGGAATGGTGGAATGGGCTGAAATCATGGAATGCTTTGGGAATCCTGGAATGTTTGGAATTCCAAGATTTTCCACTTGATTTCAGCTGGGATTTGAAACCCCTGGGATTTTTAACCTGGAAGTGCCGAGAAGAACGGGAAAAATCCAGGAAAATTGGAATATCCCGAAAGGAAAAGGATCCGTAGAAATCCAAATCCAACTCCCGGTTCCGGAAATTCGGGAATAAACAGGAAAAGGATCATTTCAATGGGAAACCGGGAATTGAAATTTCCAATTCTGATAAAAATCCTGAATTCTGGAACCAGGAAAAATTCCAAAATTAGGGAAAGAATCAAATTCCAAACCCAGGTAAAATCCTGAAATTCCAAATCCAGGGAATTCCAGAACCGGGAAAAATCCCAAAATTCCAAATCCAGGGAATTCCAGAACCGGGAAAAATCCCGATTTCTGGGAGATCCCAGGGATTTGAAAATCCGGGATAAATCCGGAGCATCCCAAGGGATCCCAGGCTCTCTTTCCAACCCCGTGGGTTTTTTGGGAATTTTGATGAACTCCTCATCCTTTAAAATCCAATCCCAATGGAATTTATTAGGAAAACCGGGATTCTTCCATCATTCCTCACCTTTTCCTTGGAATTTCCCCCATCCTGCTCCTCCTTTGCTCCAGAGGTTTCCTGGCGTATCCCAAAAATTTTAGAAGCCACGGATTTTCCCGGGAGCCGGGAATGGGATTGGAATCCAGAAAATCTGGGAATATCCCACTTTTCCGGCTTTTCCAAGGGCAGAAATCCTGGGATTTGGAACATTCCCAAAGCATCAACTAACCCGGAATTCCTCAATGTTCTCTCCATTCCCAATAACTCACTGGGAATTCCAGCTTTCCCATTCCCATTAACTCACCCAGAATTCCCGGTTTCCCACTAACCCACGGAAATTCCATGCTTCCCATTCCAAATAACTCACTGGGAATTCCTGGTTTCCTGTTCTGAATAACTCACCAGAATTCCAGGTTTCCCATTCCCTGATGGAATTCCCCATTCCCGTTCCCCTTCCCTCATGGAATTCCATGTTCCTGTTCCCATTCCCTGATAGAATTCCCTGTTCCCATTCCCTGAGGAAGTTCCCATTCCCTCATGGAATTCCCTGTTCCCATTCCCACTAATCCACGGGAATTCCCTGTCCCCTGACAGAATTCCATATTCCCGTTCCCATTCCCTGTTGGAATTCCTGGTCCCATTCCCTGAGGAAGTTCCCGTTGCCTGATGGAATTCCTGTTCCCATTCCCATTCCCTGAGGGAATTCCTGTTCCCATTCCCATTAACCCATTGGAATTCCATGTTCCTGTTCCCTGAGTGAATTCCCGTTCCCTGATGGAATTCCCTGTTCCCATTCCCTGATGGAATTCCTGTTCCTGTTCCCACTAATCCATGGGAATTCCCTGTCCCCTGACAGAATTCCATGTTCCTGTTCCCATTCCCTGATGGAATTTCCTGTTCCCTGAGGAAGTTCCCGTTCCCTGATGGAATTTCCTGTTCCCATTTCCAGAGGGAATTCCTGTTCCCATTCCCACTAAACCATTGGAATTCCCTGTTCCCCGATGGAATTCCCATTTCCATTCCTTGTTCCCGTTCCCTGTTCCCATTCCCTGACAAAATTCCCATTCCCAATAATCCATGGGAATTCCTGTTCCCATTCACAGTAATCCTGGGAATTCCCATTCCCATTCCCAGTAATCCTGGGAATTCCGGTTATTCCCATTAATCCCTGGGATTCCGGTTATTCCCAGTAATCCATGGGAATTCCGGTTATTCCCAGTTATCCATGGGAATTCCGGTTATTCCCAATAATCCTGGGAATTCCGGTTATTCCCAATAATCCATGGGAATTCCAGTTATTCCCAGTAATCCCTGGAATTCTGGTTATTCCCAATAATCCGTGGGATTCCAGTTATTCCCAGTAATCCCTGGAATTCCGGTTATTCCAAATAATCCATGGGAATTCCGGTTATTCCCATTAATCCGTGGGATTCCAGTTATTCCCAGTAAGCCATGGGAATTCCCGTTCCCATTCCCTGACAGAATTCCCATTCCATTCCCAATAATCCCTGGAATTCCGGTTATTCCCAATAATCCCTGGAATTCCGGTTATTCCCATTAATCCCTGGAATTCCAGTTATTCCCATTAATCCCTGGAATTCCAGTTATTCCAAATAATCCTGGGAATTCCGGTTATTCCCAGTTATCCATGGAATTCCGGTTATTCCCAGTTATCCATGGGAATTCCGGTTATTCCCAGTAATCCATGGGAATTCCAGTTATTCCCAGTTATCCATGGGAATTCCGGTTATTCCCAGTTATCCCTGGAATTCCGGTTATTCCCAGTTATCCCTGGAATTCCGGTTATTCCCAGTTATCCATGGGAATTCTGGTTATTCCCAGTTATCCCTGGAATTCCGGTTATTCCAAATAATCCATGGGAATTCCGGTTATTCCCAGTTATCACGCTCTGCTGCCTGTTCAAGTGCCGCATTCCGCGCACTCGGAAGGAGATCGAGGCTCGCTACGCCCAGCGCAAGGCGGCCAAATCCTACGCGGATAAACTGGAGACGGTGCCGCCCCTCGGGGAGCTCACCGACATTCCCGGAGGTAATTCCCACTTTTTCTTTGGAATTCTGTGCTTCCCTGAGCTCACCGACATTCCCGGAGGTAATTCCTGCTTTTTCTTTGGGAATTCTGGGAGCACAAAGTCCCTCCCTGAGCTCAGTGATGTTCCTGGAGGTAATTCCTGCTTTTCTTTGGGAATTCTGGGTGCTAAAACTCCCCCACTGAGCTCACTGACATTCCTGGAGGTAATTCCCGCTTTTTCTTGGAATTCTGTCCTTCCCTGAGCTCACCGACATTCCCGGAGGTAATTCCCGCTTTTCTTTGGAATTCTGTCCTTCCCTGAGCTCACCGACATTCCTGGAGGTAATTCCTGCTTTTCTTTGGAATTTTGGGATGGGAAATTCCCTCACTGAGCTCACCGACATTCCCTGAGGTAATTCCCGCTTTTCTTTGGAATTCTGGGAGTGCAAAGTCCCTAAAAGAGCTCAGTGATATTCCTGGAGGTCATTCCCACTTTTCTCTGGGAATTCTGGGAGGGGAAATTCCCTCCCTGGGCTCAACAACATTCCCAGAGGTAATTCCTGCTTTTCTTTGGGAATTCTGGGAGTAAAAATTCCCGCCATGAGCTCACTGACATTCCAGGAGGTAATTCCCGCTTTTCTCTGAGAATTCTGGGAATACCAAGTCCTTCTCTGAGCTCAGTGACATTCCCAAAGGTAATTCCAAATTATTTTTGGGAATTCTGGGAGTTAAAACTCCCTCCCTTATCCCACCGACATTCCCGGATGTAATTCCCGCTTTTTTTGGGGGAATTCTGGCACCACAAAATTCCTCCCATATTCCCAGCAGCAGATCCGGATTTCGGGATAAAACCCTTTGGATAAGAAGGAATTTTCCCGTCGCTTCCAGCCGGAATAATTTTTCCATTCCCAAATTAAAACTTGGGAAAAACCCCTCAAATCCCATTTTTTTTCCAAATCCCGCTAAAAAAACTCCGTCAAATTCCGCTTTTCCCGCTTTTCTGACCCTTCTGGGAATGGCAATTCCAAACTTTTCCTGGGAAAAAAAACCCCAGAATCCTCATCCCATTTTCCCGTCCATTCCCGACTTTCCCGTCAGAAAATCGGGAATCCTATCCCGTCTTTCAAATCTCAAATTCCCGTTTATTCCAAGGGAATTCCGGGAGGGTTTGGAATTGCTCATTCCCGGATCTTTTCTCCCCCTCTGGAATTTTTTCTCACTTTCCTTTCCTGATTCCATAGGAAATTCCATTCCCGAAAATCTCCTCCCTCCCTCGGGCCAATCCCGAGCTCTGCGCTCGCTGCCGGTGCTGAAGGAAGAGGATGAGATGATTTTCCAAGGAATTTAGGGAATTCTCATTCCCGTCCTCCTCTGGCTTCTCTTTTCCAAGATTTCCTCGGATTTTCCTTTCCAAGATTTCCTCGGATTTTCCGCTTCTCCATTCCTGGATTTTTCTGTTTCTGGGGTCTGAGATTGGCGATTCCCAGATTTTTTTGTGGAATTTGGAGCTAAACCGCGGGAATTCTCACAAATCCCGGGATTCTGGAGGTCCGAGATTGGCGAATCCCAGATTTTTCTGTGGAATTCGGAGTCAAACCATGGGAATTTGCACAAATCCCAGGATTCTGGGGGTCATAAATTGGAAATTCCCAGATTTTCCTGCAGAATTCCGACCTGAACCGCGGGAATTCACACAGATCCCAGGATTTTCCAAGGAATTCTGGGAATTCTCATTCCCGCCCTCCTCTGGCTTCTCTTTTCCAAGGTTTCCTTGGATTTTCCCCTTCTCCATTCCCGTATTTTTCTGTTTCTGGGGTCTGAAATTGGAAATTCCCAGATTTTTCTGTGCAATTCGGAGCCAAACTCGGGAATTTGCACAAATCCCGGGATTCTGGAGGTCTGAGATTGGCGATTCCCAGATTTTTCCTGTGGAATTAAGAGCTGAGCCACAGGAATTTGCACAAATCCTGTTATTTCAAGGATCCAAAATTGGTGATTCCCAGATTTTCCTGCAAAATTTGGAGTCAAACCATGGGAATTCTCACAAATCCCGGGATTTTCCAAGGTGGGAATTCTCACAAATCCCGGGATTTTCCAAGGAATTCTGGGAATTCTCATTCCCACGCTCCTGTGGTTTCTCCTTTCCAAGATTTCCTCGGATTTTCCGCTTCTCCATTCCTGGATTTTTCCGTTTCCTCAGCGCTTTTTGGTGTTTTTTTCCCTCTTTCCTGGGTCTCTCCAGGAGCCGGAATTCCATAAAAATGGAAAAATCCAGGATTCGGGATCTTTGGGGGAAGAGGCGGATCCCAAAACTGTGGGAATCCGGGAATTCCTTGGAAAAATTCAGCCGCACCAAGGAGAAAAATGTGGAATTCGGAGCCGGGATTCGCACAAATCCCGGGATTCCAGAGGTCTGAAATTGGAAGTTCCCAGATTTTCCTGTGGAATTCGGAGTCAGACCATGGGAATTCACACAAATCCCAGGATTCTGGGGGTCTGAAATTGACAATTCCCAGATTTTCCTGTGGAATTCGAAGCTGAGCTCCAGGAATTCGCACAAATCCCGGTATTTCAAGGATCCAAAATTGGCGGTTCCCAGATTTTCCTGTGAAATTTGGAGTCAAACCATGGGAATTCGCACAAATCCCGGGATTTCAGGGGTCTTAAATTAGAAATTCCCAGATTTTTCTGTGGAATTCGGAGCCAAACCTCGGGAATTCGCACAAATCCCGGGATTCTGGAGGTCCAAGATAGGCAAATCCCAGATTTTCCTGCAGAATTCAGAATCAAACCATGGGAATTCACCCAAATCCCGGGATTCTGGGATTGGCGATTCCCAGATTTCCCTCCGGAGCTGATCCCAATTCCATGAATAAATCCTCGTCCTTCCACTGAATCCTTCCAGCTCATCCTTGTGGGATTTTCCAAGGAATTCTGGGAATTCTCATTCCCGCCCTCCTCTGGCTTCTCTTTTCCAAGATTTCCTCGGATTTTCCGCTTCTCCATTCCTGGATTTTTCTGTTTCTGTGGGTCTGAAATTGGAAATTCCCAGATTTTCCTGTGGAATTCGGAGCCCAACTGCAGGAATTCGCCCAAATCCCAGGATTTCAGGGGTCTGAAACTGACTATTCCCAGATTTTCCTGCGGAATTCAGAGCCAAGAATTCGCACAAATCCCAGGATTTAAAGAGTCCAAAATTGGCGATTCCCAGATTTTCCTGCAAAATTTGGAATCAAACCATGGGAATTCGCACAAATCCCGGGATTTTCCAAGGAATTCTGGGAATTCTCATTCCCGCCCTCCCGTGGCTTCTCTTTTCCAAGGAAATTTAACTCCAAATTTCATTAATTTAAATTCCAAACTTAATTCCAAATCAAATTTAATTAATTAAAATTCCAAATTTAATTCCAAATCAACCCTTGGAATTGTGGTTTTTTCCCCCCCCCAAAAAAAAATCCTCACTCGGCTTGATGGGAAAACTCACAGCGGGAATTTTTTTTGGGAATATTTTCCCTGGAATTCCTGAGAGTTGGAATTGTGACAATTCCCAGATTTTTTTTTTTTTTTGGGAATCCCCATCAATTCCCTGTTTTGTTTTTTTTTTATCCTCGGGAACAGCTCAGACGACGGAAGAAAAAAAAGAGGAAGAAATTCCCACGGTATCCGGAAAAGTGGAAAAAACTCCGGGAAAAAAAGAGGGATCCAAAGATTCCAAGAAAAAAGACGGAGAGAAGGAACAGAAGGAAGAATCCAAGAAAGACGGAGGCAAAAAAAAAGACGGGAAAGAGGAAAAAAACGGGAAAGGGGAAAAGGAAAAGGGGGAAAAGGAAAAGGAATCAAAGGACAAATCCCAAGGAAAAAAGGGGGAAAAAGACGGAGAAGCCGGAAAATCCAACGGGAATTCCAAAACTCCGGCGAAAAAGAAGTGATTTCACGGAAATTCCGGAATTTTTTGGGAATGCTGGATGAGATTTCCCGGATATTCCCACGGGATGGGATGGGAACCGCCGGGATTCGGCTCCTCCGAAGGAAAAACGGGAATTTGGTGGAATAATAAAGGCAAAAAAAATGGGAATGAGAGTTTGGGAATGAGCAGGGATGAGGATCCGAAGGAAATTGGGATCAATCCCAAATTTTTTCTTCTTCCTGAGGAGCTGGAAAAGTTGGAGAAAGTTTTCCTGGTATTCTGCAATTCCTCATGGGGAATTTTAGGGATTCCGGGAAAATCCCAAAAGTTTGGGATTCTCCAAAGATTCCAAGAGGTTTTTGCAGGTTTGGGAATTTTTCCTCCTTTCTCCGGTGCCTTTTTCCCTGGATTGCTGCAGGGAACAGCGGGAATTCCGTCTTTTCCATGGGATTCAGCCACATTTTCCCGATTTTTTCCGAGGAATTCTGCTCCTCCCTCCCTTCCCGGGAATTCCCTCGGAACGATTTGATCGGGAGCGGCGTTTTCCCGAATATTTTGGGAATATTCCAGAAATTTCTGCCTTAAAAATTCCAGCTTGGGAGGGAATTAACTCCAGGGTTTTTTGGGAATAGCAGGAAAAATCTTGGGATAATGAAAATTTGGGATATTCTGGAATTTTCTGCTCCATAGAGAGAGTTTCATCCCATCCTTTATCCCTGGGAATGGCAATTATTTTTTATTTCATCCATTTGATTCCTATTATTTTCCTGCTGTTTTTCCAATGGGGATTTTCCCCAATTTTTCCCAGTTTTTCCCAGTTTTTCCCCAATTTTTCCCAGTTTTTTCCCATTTTTTTCCTGATTTTTCCCCAATTTTTTCCCATTTTTTTCCCATTTTTTCCCCATTTTTTCCCATTTTTTTGCATTTGTTCCCATTTTTCCCCATTTTTTTCCATTTCTTCCCATTTTTTCCAATTTTTTCCCCATTTTTTTCCCCATTTTTTTCCCATTTTTCCAGCTTTTCCTCATCCCAATTTTCCTTTCCCTTCTCTCTCAGCCGATTCATCCCAGTGGGAAAAGATTCTGGAAAAAAAAAAGGGATTTTCTGGCCTGATGAGATGACTCAGCTCCAAAAAAAATCCCAAAAATCCCAAATTTCTCCAAAAAAATCCTCAAAATCCCAAATTTTCCAAAAGAAATCCCCAAAAATTCCCAAATTTCTCAAAAAAAATCCTCAAAATCCCAAATTTTCCAAAAGAAATCCCCAAAAATTCCAGATTTCTCAAAAAATTCCTAAATTTCTCAAAAAAATCCCCAAAAATCCCAAATTTTTTAAAAAATTCCCCAAAAATCCCAATTTTTTTTTAAAAAAATCCCCAAAATCCCTAATTTCTCCCAAAAAAATCCCAAAAAATCCCAAATTTCTCTGAAAAAATCCTGAATTTTTTAAAAAAATCCCAAAAATCCCAAATTTCTCCAAATAAATCCCAAAAAGTTCCAAATTTCTCAAAAAAATATCCCCAAAATCCCAGATTTCTCTAAAAAATCCCAAAAATCCCAAATTACTCCAAATAAATCCCAAAAACCCCAAATTTCTCCAAAAAAATCCCCAAAAATTCCAAATTTCTCCCAAAAGAATCCTAAATGTCTAAAAAGAATTCCCCAAAATCCCAAATTTTCCACCAAAAACATGGAAAACTTTAGGAGAGAGGTTGGGAACAATTCCCAGAACATCCAGGAAAATCGGGAATTCCGGGGTTGGGAATTCTGCCCCGAACACCCAAAATTTCCATCCTCCGGATGAAAAAGTGGGAATTGGGATCCAAATATTGGGATTTTTTTTGGAATTTCAATCCCAAATTTTCAAGGCTCCTTTCCTTCGGGATTTTCCCGTTGGATTCGGGCTCGGATCCGTGGGAATTTTGGGATTGGGATATTTATCCCTTAAAAATTCCGGGATGGGATCCAGCTTGGAATTTGGGATGGAGAGGGAAAAGGAGCGGATTTATTCCTGATCCAATTTATTTTTTTTTTCTGGGAGGAAAAATCCTCTCCTTTGTTTATTTTTTCCATGGAATTCCTTTTCCAGTGAAAAAGAATCCAAACACCGAATAAAAAATTCCTTGGGATCGGGGAATCCGGGAGATTCCTGGGAATGGCTGATTGTTTGTTTTGTTTTTTTTAAAAAAAAGGGATTTTTCCATGAAAAACTAAAAATAAATCAATTTCTCCTTCGGCAATTGTTGGGTTTGGAATTCTCAGGGATGCGGGGGAATGTGGGGAATTCCTGGGATTGGGGATTTGGGAATCCATTCCTGGGATTTGGTAATCCATTCCCGGGATCTGAGAATCCATTCCCGGGATTTGGGGTTTGGGAATCCATTCTTGGGATTTGGAGAATCCATTCCCGGGATTTGGGGAATCCATTCCCGGGATTTGGGGAACATTTTCCTGGGATTTGGGGAATAAATTCCCGGGATTGAGGAATCCATTCC